AAAATCTCATCATATACAACCTTGAAGCAGGACAGTCCCACAATATTCCTTTTCCTGTCTCTTGCTTTCATTCACCACCCCCTTCTTCTTGAACAACCACCTACCCGAGAGGCATCATAGCAGTAAGTGGCATGTCATGACAATATCACAGCTGCTTTTAAAGATGAGGATTGTTACTAGGCAAAATTATTTGTTCAAGGTAATGTCACAGGACAAGAACAGCAAGAAGTTGGGATTTGAACCTACATATCTTTGAATCTGGCCTGAAATCTGATCTCTCAATAATTATGCTACACCGAATCTCCTAGTTTCCTCACTAATTAAAGTATCATTAAGACACTACTAAGTTAATTGACCTTTAGTCAAATATGGCATTAGACTTTTAGAGTGGAAGAATAAAAAATACATTTCATAAGAATAATGATAAATAATAAGATGGTTTTGGAGTTAGTAGGGTAAAGCTTTATAGTGAGAGAGTTAAGGAAAATGTCTAATTTGTACTTGAGTTTGAAGAGTACACTTTTTAATATACCAAAAAGAGCAGAAGAGAATTACATAGTCAGGAAGTATGTGCTTTTTTGGAATGAACAGCAACTAAAATTGAGGCAGAATAAAATATGGCTGGAAAGGCCTTGAATGCCAGACTGAGTCATTGGAATTTCTCTTGGTAGATAGATGGTGGGTTCATGATCCTGGTAGTCCTTCAGCACAAGGGTCACTTGAGAGCTCTTTTATATGAAGGTGATATGAGTATCTTTTGGGTGATCTGGAGGTTGGAGGACTAGAGGTCAAATTAGATTGGAAGGGGGCCAGGGAGATGGCTCAGTGTAATAAGTGCTTCCCTGGCAAGCACAAGGGTCTGAGTTCAATCCCTGGTTCCACCAAAAAAAAAAAAAATTAGATTGGAAGCTGATGTGATAGAACCATTGTGAAGTGGCACAAGAGTGTTGCAACTTGGTGACAGTGGGAGTGAGAGGACCAGGGCACCAGGACTATAAGAAGGACACTTCACTCAATAGTTCTTAGTGGTCATGGATGTTGATAGCAACAATGGGAGAAGAATAAAATTATTTCCATTATAGATCATGAGAAAGATGGTGTTATTAATAAAAGTGCAGAAGTAAAGAAAAATATTTGCATTGGATATATAATGCATAATGTGATTTTCATGTAGCCTAATTTTGGATTTTTCAAGTGAAAATATGAGTGATATCCAGGAAAAATGTACAACTAATTAAAAAAATATGGTCAAGGGGTAAAAAGAGATGTCAAAACTGGATACACACACACACACACACAAAAAAAAAAAAACAAACAAACCTGGATGCACAGATTTATCTACACAAAGCAGCAATGTTCAGTCTATTTAATCAGCCTGGCTGTTTCGTATTAGTCAGGGGTGGTGGGGTCCTGGCATTCATGTAGTTTGTAACGTTTTCCATTAAAGAATCTAACATATCACCAGATTTGACAACTGCTGACTGGTCACAAGTCATGTAATTGGTTAGGATTTGAAAAAGAGAGTAGAGTTAGATAAAAAGTGAATAGTGGAGGCTGTTGTGGCATCTGTTTTCAAGAAATAGAAGAGGAGTCAGACAAGAGGTGGTCAAAGAGGTGGAGAGAAAACCAGAAAAAAAGCCAGAGGGTTGAGAGAAGTCAAGAATGAGGAATTGGTATCACATGCAGAGAGAGCAGTTGAGATCTGAGAGTAATAGAAGCGAGGGGCAGTGATCAGAGGATGTAGCATAACTTACTTTGCTTACTGTTCTTTTCTGGCTGAGTTATGGAGACACAGTTTCATGGAAAGGGCTGGTAACTGTGAAAGTGGCTAATGTGACAGTCGACTGAGTTGTAATACTTGACATAAATGGAATGATTTGAGAATCTTTTTTTTTTTTGGTGCAAGGTCTCACTACACAGCTTGGACTCATAGTGATCCTCCTGATTTCTGCCTCTCTAGTGCTGGGATTACAGGTGTCCACCACAGGTCTGGAGTCCATCGCCAGCTCAGTGTGCCTGGGGGTGGGGCCGGCATGGCATGCCATGCCAGGGATCGAATGAGTTCAGAATCTAGGCAGAGTTTAGTTTTGGAGTTTAAGATTTAAGAAATCTGTGTGATGCATCTGCGTGATGGGAAAGTTTGGTCCTGCAGGGGAGGAGAGGCCCACTTTGTTTTAGGGGTTAGGTTAGAAAATGGCAGTCAGTGATTGGTGGAATTGCATGTGCATGATAAAATAGGCACAAAGGACGTTCCCAGGCCAGGTGCCTGAAGTTTCAGGAACTCATGGGAGTAGCTGAGAGGTTGGTTGGGAAAAGAAGAGTGCTTTATGTAGTGTCAGGAGCTTCAAAGGAGAGGTTATTGTCAAAGGATAACTTTATATCTGTCTAATGTTTATGGACATGGCAGCATAGAGCTTGGAGAGCCACCCAGCAGGCCCTTGGGTACATGGTTCCGAGGGTGAGAGTCAGCATGTTTGTTTCTTCTCAGGGACTCTGTCACTTTTTCAATTTCTCTGTGTTAGAATTGACTGAGAATTGCAATTTTCCCATCGGTTACTCTTTTTTTTTTTCCTGAGAATTAAATTATTAACATTGAAATGTAAAATAAAGAGAAAAGAAGAAAAAAAAATGAAATGTAATATTTCAGATCACCTGCTTGGTGAGACTGGATGTTTTTTGAGAATCAAACAGGAATTAACTTTATTAATATAAGAAAGTAAAAGCATGGAATGGTTCAGGAATTTGCAAGTCATCCTTGTGCAGGGGCCAAATTAATTTCTATCGTTCCAACTTTAGTCTAGGTGCTGCTGAAGGGAGCGCAGCCTGGGCTTGAAAGTGTTTTAGAGAGGGAAAAAATGCTTGAGATGCTTTATTCTTTTTTGCTTTTTAAGGTATTTTTCAGACAGAATTTCACTGTGCAGTTCAAACTGGCCTTGAATTCACTTTATAGCCCAGGCTGACCTTGAACTCAGTGATTCTCCTGCCTTGGCTTCCCTAGTGATGGAATTACAGGTGTGTGCCACAGTGTCTACCTTAAGATATCTTACTCCTTAATTACATTAAAAGTAGGATGAGAAAAAAAAAAGTAGCTTGAGAACTTAAATCTTTTTTTTTCTTTTCTTTTTTTTTTTTTTTGCAGTACCGGGGATTGAACTCAGGACCCTCCACATGCCAGGCAAGCATTTATTCTACTGAGCTATCTCCTTGGCCCCTGGAATCCTTGTAAAGCATCTATAAATGGTATTAGTAAATGATATTTCATGGGTGAGCAAAATTTTAATTAAGATAAAACTAATATTCTTTTTTTTAAATAATTTTATTGGGAAACAAATAGCAATGAGACACTTTTAAAACCAATTAGGACAGTTTCAATAATTAATACATTGCATATTGTTGTCTTTGTAGTGGTTATTCATAGTACAAGATGCAGACATGATATCCTGTCCACAAACACTATTAGAACAAATCTTTCTATTCATTGAATTAAGAGAAAGTAGCTATATATCTATCATATTTTGTATATACGGATACAAAATGGTCCTGCATTTGTATCCCTTTTTTTGTTTAGTTTTATCAGAGAAGTGTATTCCATTGTCATTTAAATACTGTAGGTACATGAATTCAGTAAAATATTCCAATATAGTCCAGTAGTCCATAATAGTAGTGGATTTTCCATAGGACTGGCAATGTCAGAAGTTTTTGACTTGAGCCTTTTATAGCTCAGCATATTTATATGGCTTTACTTTGTATACTTTGTTTTTATACTTTTCTGCTGGATAGTTAAGACCAAGACAAAGCAAGACCTATATAACAAGAAATATAACTTTTGTATCTGACAAGTTCAGTCAAATCCCCTGAGGATTTATCCTGAAACCCTGTACCACAGTTTGTAGATTGTTTGTCAGTGTCAGCCATGTGGATGAGTCACGGCCATTGCTTGACCAATTTGCTTTCTGTGAAAGTCTGGGAGAATGTTATGTCTCCATGTGACTCTCCTTAGGCACACTCTACATCAATGATCACTTTCTTCTGTGGCCCCACAATCTCCTTGATCAGAAAATTTGGGACACAACACATTAACATTCTTTTTAAAAAAATTTATGTATTTGCTACAGGGTCTCACTATGCAGCTTGGACTCATAGTGATCCTCCTGTCTTCAGCCTCCTAATTGCAAGGATTATAGGCATGTGCCACCATGCCCAGACTTGGTGACTGACTTAGTATGCCTGGGGGTGGAGATGGCATGGCATTCAGTCCTCAGGACCAAACCCGGTTCCCTGTGCTTACCTAAGCAGGTGCTTAGTCTGCAGAGCACCTGCTGGCCCTAAAACTTCCTTATGTCATAACCCTTGGTATTCTGGCCTGTGGTCTTGAGACTCAGGCTCCACCAGCAAAATGATGCTAGGAGGGTGAAGGAGAAGGCAGGAACTTGTTCCTGTTTGTCAGCTTCCAGCGCCCCTCCTGCCTTGGGTTCCTGTGAGCCTCAGCCAAGCAAAAGCCCTTTATCAGCAGCTGTGGCTTGCTCCTGTGGTCGTCTGCAGCTGGTGTGCTGATTTCCCAATACTCATAGCAAAAGGCCTACGTATGTGGTGGCCTCCAGCCTCCAAAGTAGGAACCGGATCAGTGCTTCCTTTTGAGCAATTTGGGACCTTACTGGAGCCCCTCTGCCACCCTTTTAGGCTTTAAAAACTGTTCCCTTGCTCCCCCCACTCCATGGGTGATAGCTGCTTCCTTTAGTTTTTGTCTCTCTATCACTTATGGTAATCCCTTCCTTCTGAGTTACCAGTTCATCACGTTAAATACATTCTGTCCTATCAACTGCTGTGGATTCTGTCTCCTTACCAGACCCAGAATGATAGAACTGTCTTCATGATTTTTTAAAATTAGTGGGTAGTTTAGGATCCTATCTTAATTAGGTATACTATTTAGTATACACCATTGTTACTTTGTGAATAATATTTGAACAAATTAATGATGCGTATAATCTATAACAAAAATTAAGCTTAGCTTTATGAAAAATTTGCTGCATTGCCTTATTTATTTATTTACTTATATAATTTTCCTGCAGACTGCTGAAAACTTCATCAGAGCCGCCCTAACCTGTGGGGAGCCATTGGGAACCTACCTACTTAGTTAGAAAGGATTAGGCTTTAAATCAAAATGTTTCACTTCAGCCCAGACTCACAAGTTTAAGTGATATAATTGACATTTCTGAGCCCTACATCAAACCAGATTAAATTCTGAATTTACTTTCGAAAGATAAAATGTAAATGCCAATCATAAAAATTCAGTTTGAGGTAGTTAATTTGAAAATCTCTGAGATCGGCATTGTTCCTTTGGTATTTCTCTTCCCTCTAGAACTCTTAAATTTAAGATAGAAGCCTTCAGTTTAGTCTCAAAATTTTACTTTCATCTTTTATCATTTATAAACCCATGAAGTTACAGATGAATAAGTTATGACACATGAAAGACTTTTGCGGAGGAGGTTCTGAATTGTTCCTCCTTCCCTAGGCTCAGACCATGCTGAGGATATTGGTCAGCTATGAAATCAAAGCATATCAGCTCTATGTAACCATAAAAGTAGCATGTTAGTCTATTTAGCCATATCTATCTAATGGAAGAATGAATAAATTAGGAAAATTGGGAATGAAAAAATACTTTGATGCCAGTCTTTCCATTCTACTTCCATAAACTCATCTCAAAGTCTGATACAACTTATTTCCATTCAATTATGTACATACATTCTTGTGGTCTTTATTGTTATCATGTGTTAACTATCCATGACTTCTTCTGTATTCTATGTCTATAAATTTCTTTGAACTTCTAAAATAATGCTTAATTCTTAAGGTATAACTTACGTGATTTCAGGAGTTGATTTATCCAGGGGTGGTCTCAAAATAACCTGATTTATAGGACAGGGATTATGGTTTAGATGAACACCAGTATTTAATCTTTTTTTTTTTTTTTTTTTTCGGAACCGGGGATTGAATTCAGGCCCTTGCACTTGCAAGGGAAGTGCTTATTCCACTGAACCATCTCCCCAGACCCCGTATTTCAGTTTATATGGATATAGTGCTGGTGAGAAACTCAGCAGTGTCTTTACTATGTTCTTTTCTGGGTAGACGTGAGTACTTTAAAAATGAATCCAATGATCATAAAATTGCATTCAAGTGCGTACGAATAATAGAACTTTAAAGTTTACTTAAGCTATTTTGAATTTCAGTTCAAATTTTAGGAGTTCATTGTTTTATTAAACTGATGTTGTTTGTAAAAGAAAAATGCTTAACATTTTTTATGATTATTTCTTTGTTAGAGTTTATCACTTTAAATTCTGCTTATTTTAATCAAAGTAAACTTGTTTTCTCTCAACTTTTTGATATTCCCATGAACCTAATTAAGGATATATGCCAGAGTTAGGTTGTCTCAAATGGATATCATTATTTTTAGTTATTACTTTCAGATATTTCCTTTTATTCATGCATAAACCTTTTGAATCTTTGTCAGAAAAAAGCCCCATAAGTAAACTTTAAGGTTTAAAAAGTCACAAAATTTAAGAAAGTTTAATCAATTTACAACAAATCAACAAGGAAAGATGGTTAAGTCTGTGATGATACTTATAGTAGATACTTTGTATGATCATTGTCAGACTTATAAGAGTTACCCAGAACAGTCTCAACTCATGCAGTGGGTATCCAGTGCCCATGTTAACACAGTGACAGATTTTTCTGTCACTGACACCTAGGAGAGTAAGTGGATCTAAATTTGATCTGATTCTTTTTCTCAATTCTTATTCCAACATGAATATAAACTTCATGTACTATAAATATGGAGTAATAAAATGAAAATTAAAAAATTAAAAGTTTAGAAGTGAGATATACAGAGACTAGAACTTTTGGGAGCTGGGATGGGTCAATGGCTATGCTCTAAGACAAAGCCTATGATCTCCTGCATTCATGAGCTACAGAACTGCCCTTATTCTTGTTTTCTTTGGATATTATGCTTTTAATTTTTTTGAATTCTGTAATTATTCTAGTATCTTTTTCATAATTCTATTTTTTTGTGGTTAGAGTAGCAGAATTGGCTGTAGTTTAATGCAATGTAAATTCTCCAATGGAAGAAAGTAAAAAAAGAGCTAGAGGCAGGGATAGAGAGGGTATTTGGTAAAGAAGGGATGATTCAAAGTTGCCAGAAAATGGAAAATGAAAAGAAACTGATTATGATTGAGTTTAAAGTCTTAGTTAAGGCTTCAGGGAATGTATTCTTTAAATTCTGCTTTTAATTGTCTCTTTTGTAAATAGCAAATACATTTTTGCTTTGATTTAAATGGCTCATTCCTACAATAAGACTATATGTTTAACCTATACATCTGTTAGATAAATTCATGATTATTAGTATAGAGTTCTCTGGACAAACAACCAATAGGATATGTGAACCTGTACAGCTAAGTGCTACATTATAGCTTATTATTACTATTATCATTATTATATTATTATATTTGGTATAGGGTCTCACTACGTAGCTCAGACTTGTAGTAGACCTCCTGTTTCAGATTCCCCAGGCATGTGCCACCATGCTCTGTCTGTCTGTCTGTCTGTCTGTCTGTCTGTCTGTCTGTCTTTCTTTCTTTTTCTTATTTTTTGCTGCATTATAATGTTGGTTTTGGGACAAACTGCATATATAATGATAGTCTCATAAGATTATATTGCTTAACGATGTGATAGCATATAGGTTGAATAACTGCTGTCTTAAATGCACTCTATGATGTTCACACACTGATGATATCACAAAATGACTCTTGTTTCAAAACATATCCCTGTCA